TTTGGTTACTACAGTTATCCCATACTACATCCCCATATTCAAGTGTTGGTCTAATAAAAGAGGTATATATTGTTTTAAGACTTTTTCTATCCAATTTGTGTTTTACCATTCTCAATATATTCATTCTTCTATAAGCTAGCTAGCTCATAAATATTGTCAATATGATATGTCCATTTTCCATCACTACTAAAAGTTAAACCAAGATGCTTATGAGTTTGTTTATTAATCACAGTTTCATTACCAAATAAGATATCTGGATGATTTTGTTCCCTTTTCCTCGAGAAGATTACAGATTCAGTTTTTAATGAATTAAATTTGATATTCCATTTTTTTTTGCCCATGCATTAATATAACCTAGATCATTAGTTAATATCATTGCAATTTCATTTTGATTGTTGTCCGTTACTTCATAGAGAGAAGTATCATCTGCAAAAAGTTTTATTTTACTTGTTACACATTCTTTTATATCATTAATATAGATTAAGAAAAGAAATGGACCAAGGACCGAGCCTTGGGGTACACTGGCTTTGACATGCTTGAAAGTTGAATAAAACCCCTCTGTTCAGCCTATTATAGGGACTGTTGAGGACTTATGAGGTGATGATCTAGATTGTTAAAGGGACTGTTTAAGATTTATGATGTGACAATCTTGATTGTTATAGGGACTGTTGAGGACTTATGGCATGATGATCTAGATTTATATTGTTATAGGGACTGTTGAGGACTTATGACGTGATGATCTAGATTGTTATAGGGACTGTTGTGGACTTATGAGATGATGATCTAGATTGTTATAGGGACTGTTGAGGACTTATCAGGTGATGATCTAGATTAATATTGTTATAGGGACTGTTGAGGACTTATGATGTGATGATCTAGATTGTTATAGGGACTGTTGTGGACTTCTGACATGATGATCTAGATTGTTATAGGGACTGTTGAGGACTTATCAGGTGATGATCTAGGTTGTTATAGGGACTGTTAAAAGGACTTATGACATGATGATCTAGATTGTTATAGGGACTGTTGAGTGGACTTATGATGTGATGATCTAGGTTGTTATAGGGACTGTTGAGAGGACTTATGACATGATGATCTGGAATAATATTGTTATAGGGACTGTTGAGGACTTATCAGGTGATGATCTAGATTGTTATAGGGACTGTTGAGAGGACTTATGACATGATGACCTTGATTGTTATAGGAACAGTTGAGGACTGATGACATGATGATCTTGATTGTTATAGGAACAGTTGAGGACTGATGACATGATGATCTAGATTGTTATAGGGACTGTTAAGAGGACTTATGACATGATGATCTGGAATAATATTGTTATAGGGACTGTTGAGGACTTATGAGGTGATGATCTAGATTGTTATAGGGACTGTTGATGACTTATGACATAATGATCTTGATTGCTATAGGGACTGTTGAGTGGACTTATGACGTGATGATCTAGCTATAGGTTGTTATAGGGACTGTTGATAGGACTTATGACATGATGATCTAGAATAATATTGTTATAGGGACTGTTGAGGACTTATGACATGATGATCTTGATTGTTATAGGGACTGTTAAGAGGACTTATGACATGATGATCTAGATTGTTATAGGGACTGTTGAGAGGACTTATGACATGATGATCTTGATTGTTATAGGGACTGTTGAGAGGACTTATGACATGATGATCTTGATTGTTATAGGAACAGTTGAGGACTGATGACATGATGATCTAGATTGTTATAGGGACTGTTGAGGACTTATGAGGTGATGATCTAGATTGTTATAGGGACTGTTGAGGACTTATGACATGATGATCTTGATTGCTATAGGGACTGTTGAGTGGACTTATGACGTGATGATCTAGCTATAGGTTGTTATAGGGACTGTTGATAGGACTTATGACATGATGATCTAGAATAATATTGTTATAGGGACTGTTGAGGACTTATGACATGATGATCTTGATTGCTATAGGGACTGTTGAGAGGACTTATGACATGATGATCTTGATTGTTATAGGGACTGTTGAGAGGACTTATGACATGATGATCTAGATTTGTATAGGTATTGTTGAAGATTTATTACGTGACGATCTAGATTGTTATAGGGACTGTTGAGGACTTATAACATGATGATCTAGAGGGATGTAGGTAATCACATTGCAGGTAACATTCAAAAACAGGGATGTAGGTAATCACTTTACAGGTAACACACAAACATAGGGATGTATGTAATCACATTACAGGTACATTGTAACACACAAACATAGGGATGTAGGTAATCACATACAGGTAACACACAAACATTGGGATGTAGGTATAATCACATACAGGTAACACACAAACATAGGGACGTAGCTATAGGTAATCACATTACAGGTAACACACAAACATAGGGATGTAGGTATTCACATACAGGTAACACACAAACATTGGGATCTAGGTATAATCACATACAGGTAACACAAAAACATAGGGATGTAGGTAATCACATACAGGTAACACACAAACATAGGGATAGGTAATCACATTATGGTAACACACAAATACAGGTATGTAGGACACTTAATCACATTAAAGGTAACATACAAATACAGGGATGTAGGTATCACATACAGGTAACACACAAACATAGGGATGTAGGTAATCACATACAGGTAACACAAACATAGGGATGTAGATAATCACATACAGGTTACACACAAACATAGGGATGTAGGTAATCACATACAGGTAACACACAAACATAGGGATGTAGGTAATCACATTACAGGTAACACACAAATACAGGGATGTAGGTATCACATACAGGTAACACACAAACATAGGGATGTACTTAATCACATTACAGGTAACACACAAATACAGGGATGTAGGTATCACATACAGGTAACACACAAACATAGGGATGTAGGTAATCACATACAGGTAACACACAAACATAGGGATGTAGGACACTTAATCACATTACAGGTAACACACAAATACAGGGATGTAGGTATCACATACGAGGTAACACACAAACATAGGGATGTAGGTAATCACATTACAGGTAACACACAAACATTGGGATGTAGGTAATCACATACAGGTAACACACAAACATAGAAATGTAGGTAATCACATACAGGTAACACACAAACATAGGGATGTATGTAATCACATTCCAGGTAACACACAAACATAGGGATATAGGTAATCACATACAGGTAACGCACAAACATTGGGATGTATTAATCATATACAGGTAACACACAAACATAGGGATATAGGTAATCACATACAGGTAACACAAAAACATAGGGATGTAGGTAATCACATACAGGTTACACACAAACATAGGGAGGTAGGTAATGACATACAGGTAGCACACAAACATAGGGATGTAGGTGATCACATACAGGTAGCACACAAACAGAGGGATGTAGGTAATCACATACAGGTAACACAAAAACATAGGGATGTAGGTAATCACATTACATGTAACACACAAACATTGGGATGTATTAATCATATACAGGTAACACACAAACATAGAAATGTAGGTTATCACATACAGGTAACACACAAATACAGGGATGTAGGTATCACATACGAGGTAACACACAAACATAGGGATATAGGTAATCACATACAGGTAACTTACAGGTACATTGTAACACACAAACATAGGGATGTATGTAATCACATACAGGTAACACACAATCATAGAAATGTAGGTAATCACATCCAGGTACACCCAAACATAGGCATGTAGGTAATCACATACAGGTACACACAAACATAGGGATGTAGGTTATCACATACAGGTAACACACAAACCTAGAGATATAGGTAATCACATACAGGTAACACACAAACATTGGGATGTATTAATCACATACAGGTAACACACAAACATAGGGATGTAGGTAATCACATACAGGTAGCACACAAACATAGGGATGTAGGTTATCACATACAGGTAACACACAAACATAGGGATGTAGGTAATCACATACAGGTAACACACAAACATAGGGATGTAGGTAATCACATACAGGTAACACACAAACATAGGGATGTAGGTAATCACATACAGGTAACACACAAACATAGGGATGTAGGTAATCACATACAGGTAACACACAAACATAGGGATGTAGGTAATCACATACAGGTAACACACAAACATAGGGATGTAGGTAATCACATACAGGTAACACACAAACATAGGGATGTAGGTAATCACATACAGGTAACACACAAACATAGGGATGTAGGTAATCACATACAGGTAACACACAAACATAGGGATGTAGGTAATCACATACAGGTAACACACAAACATAGGGATGTAGGTAATCACATACAGGTAACACACAAACATAGGGATGTAGGTAATCACATACAGGTAACACACAAACATAGGGATGTAGGTAATCACATACAGGTAACACACAAACATAGGGATGTAGGTAATCACATACAGGTAACACACAAACATAGGGATGTAGGTAATCACATACAGGTAACACACAAACATAGGGATGTAGGTAATCACATACAGGTAACACACAAACATAGGGATGTAGGTAATCACATACAGGTAACACACAAACATAGGGATGTAGGTAATCACATACAGGTAACACACAAACATAGGGATGTAGGTAATCACATACAGGTAACACACAAACATAGGGATGTAGGTAATCACATACAGGTAGCACACAAACATAGGGATGTAGGTTATCACATACAGGTATAACACAAACATAGGGATGTAGGTAATCACATACAGGTAACACACAAACATAGGGATGTAGGTAATCACATACAGGTTACACACAAACATAGGGATGTAGGTAATCACATACAGGTAACACACAAACATAGGAATGTAGGTAATCACATTACAGGTAACACACAAACATAGGGATGTAGGTAATCACATACAGCATTCATTTTCAATCAAATACGATCATAAGTTTGTACTTAATATGTAAACTTACATCAGACTGGTCCAGGAAGCAGGATCCTTAGCAGGTGTTATCTCACCAATGATCACAGGTACACATTCAGGGTTCAAAGGACACCCGTCAGCATATCTGTGTCATAGACGTGTGACCTCATCAACACAACACATTCTGTACAATTAAAGTACTAGTAGGTATATAATCTCAGGTAAAAAATACACATCTTGATGTATTGTCAATCATTGGAGCTAATGATCAGCCAATCACACAGCGTTGAAAACTGTACACAGTGATTCTATATTTAGACACTAACACAAATCCAGATTTGATTCATACATGAATGAACAAATTCTTAATACACCATGCAAAACCTCAAATATCAGGTGTAAAATATTTGGAATGTTAAGTGATCTGTTTGTATCGCAAGAATATATTGAATACCTTGACCTGACAGTATTTTGCCCAGGATGTGGTGTGCATGGCCTATATCTGGGTCCTATCATATCATATCCCTTCCCCAGTAGTGCTAACATAAGGTATCCACCACTGCTGTAAACAAAGGTGTAAAATTCACGTCTCACAGAGCATGTCAACAATGTACTGGTACACACTACACGACAGGTAAAACAGGTAGTAAGCCTGTACAATTATCTGTCGATCATACAATTTAAAGCTATCAGATGATATGCTAATCCAGTGTGTACATAAATGGACAGTGATATACCTAAACATTCTCAAGCTAGCTACAAACTTTATATTCTTATTAAAATTTTCCATTATTCCTGTTTGAGCAAGTAAGAAATGTGTTTGTTGGTTACAGATAGGAGATCATTTTACAAATAAAATAATATTTCATAATTTCTTAAACTTACTCGGGAATTAAAAAACCTTTACAGAAATGTAATATTCTTAGTCCCAGGTATTGTGTTTATAGTGTGCAATTTATGATAAAATTGTGGCAGTTATGAATTTCTTTATGGTCATATCGCTCAGTTCTGTCTGGAGGTGAGTGATATATGTTAAACCCCTAGGTGTGGTCAATGGTCACTCTTAGCAGGTTTTACCTGTTCCAAGTCATTGCATTGTTAGCTAAAATGATTGAAAAAAAATGAAAATATTGCTAGAGGTACAGATTTTTATCAGTATGCCTTTGTTAAAACATACAAATCCAGCTCCGTGACAACATGGCAACATTCTTTCTGAACTGTTTTATATGAGACAAACAGTATGTACATGAAATATAATGTAATGTCAATCTGGTCACATCCAGGTAAGCTTGCCAATACAGTAAACTGTTGCAGTTTGACTACCTTTTCTAAACTTAGCATTAGGTTATCAGGTTAAAGCTCTACCTGCTGTATTTTTTAGCTTAAAGGATTAATTAATTTTGGAACCTACTCAGTTATAATATTGTGGTGTTCATATTGCAACAATGCATTCCTGTAAAGGACGGGTGAAACACAGTCTACAACTTCATGTTTAGAAAATTTTGCCTGAACAATAAAAAATCAGAGATAAGACTGTGGTATGATATCATCAGTACATGAGATAAGACTGTGGTATAACATCATCAGTGCATA